ACTTGGCTGGAGGAGTGTAAGCAGCAGGTAATGATAAACAGGGCCGAGGAGGTGGTGACGGCAGCGCTGGCCTCGCTCCTCTCCTGCTCACCCCAGCACATGCTGGGGAGATTGGTGCCAGGGAGATGCAGGCTCTGCCCCACACAGCCCCCAGCACTGCTGGCTGCCCCACACTGAGCTGCTGGCACGGGCAGAGCCCGCTGTGTGCCACCATCACCACCAGGACACGGGGATCACACCGGTGTTGGCATCAGCCATCTCCAACGCCCTGGGAGTGAGGACATGTGCCCTGGGCAGAGCTGATCCCTCACGGCTGATGCTGTGATGGCACTGAGGTCAGCATGGCCTCACCTCTGCTTTGTCATCCCCCAGCAGCACCAGCACCAAGCCCTTCTCCTCCTCCTCTTCCTCTCGTGCAGTGGATGAACCACCCGGCACCAAATGACGGAGAGCTGAGGCTCCTCCAGCATCACCTCTCGGGCACTGGGCTCCAGCAGTGCCCTGGCTCTGCTCATCCCCGACCCCGGGAGCGCCGGGTACCCCGGGGGCACGTGCCCCATGCCGCCCGGGGCCACAGCCGCGGGATGTGGCAGGGGTTACCCATTAACTGCAGGAATTTCTGGGGAGGAGGTGAGCGGGAGCGGAGGCGAGGGGCGACGCGGGGCTCCTTAGACTTTGCTCTTGGCGTGTGTATAAAGGGCCGTGGTGCCCCACGGGCCACTTTGCTGGAGGGACGCGTGGATGTGGCATGTGGAAGTGGCACTGCCCTGAGTGCCCGGCCAGCCCCAGGTGAGCTGGGCCCTGGGCAGGAGCAGTGCCCTTCCTGCCTGCCCTGCCTGCCCTTTGGGAGCTCGCTGGGGTGGCACAGCAGCAGCTGGTGGACCAACAGATGATGGGGTGGTGCTCCTCAGTGGTGCCAGCGCTGCAGGGATCTGGGGGGACGTGGCAGTTGGTGCAGCACAGCCGTGGTGACACGCAGCCACCTCTGCTCAGCCCCAGCAGGAGCGATGCTGCCCTACCGGACGGAGAGCCCGGTCCTGCCCGGCCGCTGCCCGGTGCGGGGAGGAAGGGTTGTGCACGGGCCACAGTTTGCCTACTGCCCCAGCCCCCAAGGTAGGTGCCCTCAGCCCTCTTCCTCCTCTTCCTCTTCCTCCTCTTCCTCATCTCTGCTTCCTGCCAGACCCTGGCCCAGGCAGCGCTGGGCTCTCCTGTGCAGGGAGGTCCCTGCTGGGACGGGGCTGTAACGTGGGTGCCCTCTCTCCCCAGCCCTGCACCGGCTGCCGGGTGCCCACAGCTGCCCCTTCACGGTCAGCGCCGTGCCCTGCCCTGAGCATGGCTTCCCCTGCCCCGGCTCCCCGGGGCGCCGGCGCGAGGGCCGCGAGCGGTACGAGCTGGACGCGCTGCCCTGGCAGGGGCACCGCCTGGCCTTGGACGAGCTGCAGAGGCCAGGTGAGACCCCACGGGGGTGGGGGGGTCTCACAGCACCTGGGGAACACCCCAGGGATCTGACAGAGGCACCTGGGGCACTTGGGGTGCCAGGACTGTGGGGTGCCAGGTTGGGAGGGCAGTGCTGGTGGAGAGATCCTCAATGTCCTGGGGCAACATGGGAAGAGCTGAGGGACAACTGGAAGCTGGAACGAGGCACTCCAGGGTGGGAGGAGATGGAGGGGACCCTGGGACAGGTGGCATAGCAAGGGACATGAGCCCTGTGCTGCCAGGAGCCATGAGAGTGGCATGAGACTGCAGGAGCCTGGGGAGCCAGGGCCATGCATAGCAGGAGTTTAACACTCTCTCTTGTCTTGCACAGAGCTCGGGTGCTGGGCCAGGGTCCAGTCCTTCTGTGTCTCCCTTCTAAAGGTGCCCCTGATGTTTGGGTTCCTGTACCTCTTCGTGTGCTCTCTGGACGTGCTCAGCTCTGCCTTCCAGCTGGCTGGAGGTAGTAGGGTGGCAGGGATGCCCGGGAACCTGGTGGCACTGGCACTGCCAGCAGCCTGCACTCACATTCCCTTACAGGTAAGGTGGCGGGGGACATCTTCAAGGACAACGCCATCCTCTCCAATCCAGTGGCTGGGCTGGTGGTGGGCATCCTGGTGACCGTGCTGGTGCAGAGCTCCTCCACCTCCACCTCCATCATCGTCAGCATGGTCTCCTCAGGGTGTGAGTGTGCCCATGAGGCTGCTGGGGAGCTGAGGCTGAGGGAGAGGATGGCTGGATGGGGTCACCCTGAGGCAGGCCGTGCAGGGCTAGCAGGTCTCTCTGTCCCCAGTGCTGGAGGTGCGCTCTGCCATCCCCATCATCATGGGCTCCAACATCGGCACCTCGGTCACCAACACCATCGTGGCCCTCATGCAGGCTGGCGACCGCAGCGAGTTCAAACGGTGAGAGCTGCATGGCTCAGGGGGCACTTCTGGGGCTGGGGGCTGCCCCTCAGGACCACCCCACGCCAGCGGGCTCCTTCATTCTGCACAGGGCCTTCGCTGGTGCCACGGTGCACGACTGCTTCAACTGGCTGTCAGTGCTGGTGCTGCTGCCACTGGAGGTGGTGAGTGGGTACCTGCACCACGTCACCCGCCTGGTCGTGGCCACCTTCAACATCCGCAGCGGGAAAGATGCCCCCGACCTGCTGAAGATCATCACAGAGCCCTTCACCAAGCTCATCATCCAGGTCTGCTCAGCTGTTATGTATGCCAGCATGGTATGCCCCAGGCTGGTGGTGATGTCCCCAGCACTGGTGTCCCTTGGACGACGGTTGTATCCAAGTGTCCCCAGGCTGGCAGTGGTGTCCCCATGCCAGTGAAGATGTCCCCAGCCTGTGGGTGCTGTTAGCCCCCAGGTGCCCTCTCCAACACGTGTGTTGTTGCAGCTGGACAAGTCTGTGATCACGGGCATCGCGACGGGGGATGAAAGCCTGCGCAACCGGAGCCTCATCCGCGTCTGGTGTGGACCTGCAGCCCCCCAGGTGAGGGGCCCGTGGCCCTGCTGGGACCACCAAACACCCCCACAGATGGGTGGTGGGCGAGGGCTGGCAGAGGACACTGTGGAGCCAGCTGTAGCCCACCTTCTCCCTGCAGATGGCCACTGTGGGGCTTGGGGCCCCCCCAAACTGCACGTCCCCCGGCCACTGCAGCACTAAGGGCATTGAGGTCCTTCACAACGTCACCAGGAAGAAGTGTGAGTGGGTGTGGAGGGCTTGGGCAGGGCTGGGGCACAGGGCATGGGGCTGGGAGGTGCAGGTGGGGCTGGGGGTTGTTCGTGTGATGGAGAAGTGCTGCAGTCACGATGTGGTGCAGGGCTGGGAGATGTTGTGCTGGGTCCAGGTGTGGGGCTGTCTGTGGGGGCAGGTTTGTGAGCGGGGCCGGGCCAGCCCCAGCCCCTTGTCCAGCGGTGCTGTGGGGCAGGTGAGCACCTCTTCACCGACACACCACTGCCTGACCTGGCCGTGGGGCTGGTGCTGCTGGCTGGGTCCCTTGTCGTGCTCTGCACCTGCCTCATCCTCCTGGTCAAACTCCTCAACTCCCTGCTCAAGGGGCAGGTGGCCAAAGCCATCCAGAAGGTCATCAACACTGGTGAGTAGCATGGGGACCACATGCCACATGGCCACCCATGCCCATCTCCACCTGCCATCCTCAGACCTGTCCCTGGCTGCCCCTGGCCCCCAGCCCTGACGTGGCCGTGGCCATGTCCCTGTTTGTGCCCATGCCCGTGGCCCTGCCGTGGCAGACCTCCCACACCCGCTCAGCTGGCTCACCGGCTACTTCGCCATGGTGGTGGGTGCTGGGATGACCTTCGTGGTGCAGAGCAGCTCTGTCTTCACCTCGGCCATCACACCCCTGATCGGTGAGTCCCAGCCACTCCTCATCCCCTGCCATGTGCCATCCCCAGCCCTGTGGGTGCTAAAGCACTCAGGGGGACAAAAGGAGCTCCTCCTTGGGAGAGCGTGGGGATGGCACTGCCAGGAGTGACAGGGTGTCTCTCCCACAGGCCTGGGGGTGATCAGCATTGAGCGTGCCTACCCACTGACCCTGGGCTCAAACATTGGCACCACCACCACTGCCATCCTGGCTGCCCTGGCCAGCCCAGGGGACAAACTGGCCAGCTCCTTCCAGGTACAGTCAGCCCGGGGCCGTGGCTGGGCTGGATGGGGTCACCGGGCAGGGCAGGGGCTGGGGGATGCCCACGTGCCCGGCCTGATGGGGATGCCATTCTTGCAGATTGCTCTGTGCCACTTCTTCTTCAACATCTCGGGCATCCTGCTGTGGTACCCACTGCCCTTCACCCGCCTGCCCATCCGCATGGCCAAGGCGCTGGGCGAGCGCACGGCCAAGTACCGCTGGTTTGCCGTGCTCTACCTCATCGTCTGCTTCCTCCTGCTGCCCTCCCTCATCTTCGGCATCTCCATGGCGGGCTGGCGGGCGCTGGTGGGGGTGGGCGCGCCCTTCCTCGGCCTCCTCTTCTTCGTGGGGCTGGTGAACGCGCTGCAGGCGCACAGCCCCGGCCGCCTGCCCAAGTGGCTGCAGACCTGGGACTTCCTCCCCGCCTGGATGCACTCGCTGCAGCCCCTGGACCGGGCCATCACCCAGGCCACGCTGTGCTGCACCGACCGCTGCCGCAGCGCCGAGGGCTGGGAGGAGCCCGAGGGGGCTCCCCGCGACAAGGCCAGGCTGGGGCTGGACAACCCTGCCCTCTCCTACCCCGAGGAGATGCCCAGCCCCACCACGCGGGTGGGCTCCCCACGCCCGCTCCCGCACGGTGCCACACGGCTCTAGCTGGCAGTGCACACCCGGGCTGCTGCTCCTGTGGCCACCGGTGTCCACTGCCCCTGCTCAGCTGGTGTCTAATAAAGGGGGAGTGCTGATGTCCCTGTGCGTGTCGCTTTGGGTCCTCTCTCTGCTGTCACAGGTACCCCGCACAGCACCATTGCTCAGCCCAGCTGGTGCTGAGGACACACCAAACACTCGGCTCGCACTGTGGGGCACATGGTGATGATGCCACAGCTAAACCCTGAGCTCTGCACTGAGCTGTCACAGGCAGCATCTTCTTCCCCCTGCCTTGTCCCCAGAGGGCTGAGCTGGCAGGGTCCGTGGTGCCCCACTGTGTGCCGCAGCAGCACATCAGTGATCGAGGCACAGCAGGGGACAGCCAAGCAAGGTCCTGGGCTGCTGTGGTGCTGCTGAGCTGGGATCAGCAGGATGACGATGGCACGGTTGGGCAGTGCCCCTGCAGCACCAGGCACCCTGGCAGCCGGGCTGCAGCCCTCCTGCCGTGGTGACCCTGAAGGGAGCCCTTTAAGTGGCAATAACAGCTTCTCCCACTGCCCACAGATGTTTGGGTTCCTGCCAGTGATATCGGCCCACCCTTCCCTCCCTCCCTCCTTCCCGCCCGCCCTCCTCCGGACTGGGACCAGCAGAGCCAGCAGCGCTGCCGTGGGAGCCTCTCGGTGTTCCCAGCACCACCGCTGTCCTGCATGCCCAGCCGGGCAACCACTGGGCCAGGACGACCTCGCCACCAGACCGGGTCCGTGCAGGAGTGCTGGCAGCAGGGAGAACCCCCCGGGGACTCAGTGATGCTGGGACTGCGCCCGCAGCCGCTTCGGGACCGGTGAGCAGGGTGGGGGAAAGCCCCATGGGGCTTCATCTGCTGGAGGGGCCGGGCCAGCATGGAGCCAGCCAGCGCCCTTCCCAACGCCTCCGGTAACGGCAGCGGCACTGGCAGTGCCCCACACTCGCCCGCAGCCACGGGGCTCATCCTGCTGGCAGCCCTGTCCGTCCTGCTGGCCACGCTGGTGGGCAACGCTCTGGTGGTGGTGGCCATCTCCACCAGCCGGGCCCTGCAAGCCCCACAGAACCTCTTCCTCGTGTCCCTGGCCTCGGCAGACATCCTGGTGGCCGTCCTCGTCCTGCCCTTCTCGCTGGCCAACGAGGTGATGGGCTACTGGTACTTTGGCGGGCTGTGGTGCAGCCTGTACCTGGCGCTGGACGTGCTGCTCTGCACGGCGTCCATCGGGCACCTCTGTGCCATCAGCCTCGACCGCTACTGGGCCGTGACACGGGCGGCACGGCTCAACCTGCGCCGCAGCCCGCGGCGGGTGAAGGGCATGATCGGGGCGGTGTGGGCGGCGGCGGCCCTGGTGGCACTGCCACCGCTCCTGCGGCCGCGGCCGGCCGGGCGGGAGTGCCAGCTGAGCCAGGAGACCTGGTATGTGCTGGCCTCCTGCGCCGCCTCCTTCTTCGTGCCCTGCCTCGTCATGGTGGCCGTGTACTGCCGCATCTACCGCCTGACTGCCCGGCGGACGGCCGCCCTGCTGGCTGCCCGCTCCCCGCGCCCCGCCAGCGGCGATGGAAAGGTGTCGGGTGTTGGGATGCTGAGATGGCGTCGCCGGAGCCAGCACCAGAGCGTGCTGCTGTGCCGCCGGCGGCTGGTGCAGGCGCGGGAGCGGCGCTTCACCGTCGTGCTGGCCGTGGTGATGGGCGCCTTCGTGCTGTGCTGGTTCCCCTTCTTCTTCACCTACAGCCTGGGCGCTCTCTGCGGGCAGGGCTGCCATGTCTCCAAGCCGCTCTTCAACTTCTTCTTCTGGATCGGCTACTGCAACAGCAGCGTCAACCCCCTCATCTACACCCTCTTCAACCGGGACTTCCGCGCTGCCTTCCGCCGGCTCCTCGCCGTCCCGCACCGGCACCGCACTTAGGGACATGCTGGGACACCGGGGACACGGCCCCAGCCCTGCTCAGCCTTCACGGCACCTGGCCCCAGCACAGCCCTGGATGGCAGTGCCAGTGTGCAGCTCAAGGGGCTTCTGGAAATGCAGGATTGAATAAAATGAGACCAGATGCTGTGCCTGGGGCTGGTGTCTGCCTCCAGGGAGCCCAGGAAGAGGCACCAAGCGCCAGCACCTTTTGTCACCCGCATCACCCCACGCATGTGCCTTGCAGCAGTGGTGGTGACAACTTGCTGTGGCAGCTCCAGTGAGTACCAGCCCTCCCCACTCCCAGATGAATGTCTGTGTCCCCCAGCACTCTCTCGTGTAGGGGATGGACCCCATGGCTGCTGCAAGGAGACAAAACCAGCATCACCAGCACTGGGCTGAGCTGGCTGTGCCACCACGGCAGCCCTGTCCCTCTCTGTCCCCGCTGGGAACATGCCAGCTGTGCTGTGTCATGGGGGCTCTGGGAGGGCACACACAGACCCACGGTGGGGTACAAGGGCTGCAGGCCTGGCGTGGAACACCCCACATCCTGCTCGGGGACTGTGCTGGGATCTTGCTGCAGGAGGGAAAGCAGGAATGACATCCCAGAGCCAGAAATCTGTTCTCCCTTGGGGGAGTGTCAGAGATGGGATCGCATGGGAACAGGCTCCGGCACAGCCTGACGTGCAAGAGGCCACAGAGGCAGCTGTGGGGCGAAGACCCAGGGACAACCACATCCCCCTTGGGGGGCAGAAACCGCCCCACACCCCCCTGCCTGGCTGCTTGCCTCGCTCTGCACAGACACCCGGAGGTCAGGGGCTGCTCCACTTCTTCAGCTCTGCTGCTCAAAATAGAAAATCTCAAAACATTGGACTTTCTCTGGGCTAAAAACAGCTGCTGGCGCCTGGGAGCTGGAGCTCAAGGAACACTGGCCCCCGCCAGCCCTCCCAGCCCCTGCCAGGGTGGGTGCAGCTCAGCTGGGCTCTGGGGGGCTGGATGGGGTGGGGGCACTGGCAGCAGTGAGGATCCCCAGTGTGGGGAGGCTCAGGAGTGAGCTCTGGAGCCAGCAGAGGCTCCCAGTGGGATGGGGTTGGGATGGGTCCTGGTGCTGGCTCTCAGAGGGGTCTGACCCGGGGCTGGAGCTGCACGGGCACTGCCCGCGGAAGGAGCTGCCCTATCGCTGCCACCCAGCTTCCCCTCCCTTCTCCTTCTCGCCACTGAACAACATTTTGCTTCTAAAAATACCCAGACGAGGGCAGCCAGTGGGGACACGGCCAGGCCAGTTCTCCCAGTGCCCTGGCCACCACCCTGGTGCCAGCAGGGTGCCAGGCACTCTCCATCCTCCGGGGCATGGGCACACAGCTCCCCTGCACAGAGCTAAAACTCAGAGTGGCAGCTGCTCCACCTGAGCTGCTGCTGGATCTGCCGGGGACATCAGGATCCTCTGGCCACTGGTGCTGCTCCATGTGCCCCCCGCTGTCCGTGAGTCCTGTCAGTGATGGGGAAGGTGCTGCAGAACGCCAGGTGGGAGGGAACAGAGAACAGCAGCCCAAGGGTTAATGCTGGAAATGGATGGGAACAGTTACCTCGTTTGAAGTTCAAAATAAACAGGCTTTGGAAGGGAAGCAGCTCTAAAAGAGGAGCTCTCACACCTTGAGCTCATCCCTCCAGGCAGTGACAGAGAGATTACCCCCGAGGTGTGGCAGGGCAAAGCATCCTCCTCCTGCTCCCAATCGCTGCAGACTCAAACCCCGACGATGTGGCATCTGATTTGCAGCGGATGCTGAAGAGCACAGCAGCACGGACAGTGAGTGCTTGGAGTGATTTCTGTTATTACCATCCTCAACCTGAGCATTACAACCAAAACCTCCCCTGCCACGGGCCCAGGCTGCCGCTGGCAGACACCGGGGAGGGACCTGCCCATCACCTGCTCCCTGCCCTGGCCAGCCCCAGCGGGAACAGACATCCCCCTGGGATGAGGGGCGAGAGAACCAGGCCGTGGGAGGGCAGAGGTGATGTCCTCCCTCCGAGGCCGGGAGCAGCACAGAGCAGGGCACACACCACTCGCTTTAAGGGGATTTGGGAGCGGTTTGTGGCCAGCAGAGGCAGGGAGATGGGCAGGGGAGCGAGGGGCTCATGGAGGGGTGCTCGAGTACGGCTCTGCAGGGCAGCAGGTGGGGAGGGGCTCCCACAGCACAGCCCTTCTGCAGACACGGTAACGCTGCTGTTAATGTTGGGTAAGTTTAAAAAATGGCTTTTAGAGGGAATGATTGGTGGAAAGAAACTGGCGGGAGCTCACACACCAGAACGGCACATGAGCTGCACTGGGGGATGAGAAAACCCAAACCCCACGGCAGCGGTGACCGCGGAAACGGGCACAGCACCGGAGCTCGGGTCACCGCTCCGAGACACCGGGAAACACGTGCGGCTGCTGGACCTTACTGAGGCCGCGGAGGTGGGGAGGCTCCTAAACACGTAACCGGCTCTGCCAGGAGAGCACGGGACACGGCGGAGACAGCCCCGCCCGAGGCACCGCGACCGGGACCGGGGCACCCCCGGGACCGGGACTCCGCTGCCCCCCGGCGCTCATTAATACCCAACCTGTGGGCCCCACCCACCACAGACCGCCCTATCACAACTCGCTCTGCGGCTGAGTGGCAGCTCCACACCCAATCAGATGATGCGAGAGGCGGGGCTCCCGGTGTAGGAGTCCTCCACTCTCTGCCAATCCGCTCGCGGCTCCCCCTGAGTGACATCTCGCCCTCCAATCAGCGCCCGCCCCCTCGTCCCGGCAGCGCGCCGCCGATGTCCGCCGGATGACGTCACTAGTCAGGCCCCGCCCCGCCCGCCGCACCTCGCGGGGCCAACTGGAGGGCGGTGGCGCCGCGGAGGGGGCGGGGCTTCCTGAGCGGGCGGGCCAATGGGAGCGCGGCGCGGGAGGAGCGAGGGCAGGCATTGGCCGGGCGGGGCGTGGGGCTGGGCACGGGCGTTCGGCTGCCCCGCCCCGGGGCTGTGCTCGCTCCGGGCGTGCTGGGTCCGTCCCGGGCGGCCTCGCTGCTCCCCGGTGCGGATCGCGCCGGCTGCGCCCCGCCGTGCCCGCTCCCGGGGCTGCTCCCGCGGCACGGGGCACGGGCAGCTCTGGGGGCCGGAGGAGGGGAAAAAAGTTGATTTCAGTCCGGTAAACTGCTGCTTCCCACGCACGGGCCGATCCCGAAAGTGCGGCGGGGAGCCCCACCCGTCCGCAGCCTTCACACCAGCCCCGGGCCCGTCTGCGGGCTCCCGGAGCTCTGCGGGGCTCCCGGAGCTCTGCGGGCTCCCGGTGGTCTGCGGGGCTCCCGGGGCTGTGCGGGGCTCTGCGGGGTCCCGGTGCTCTGCGGGGTCCCGGGGCTCTGCGGGGTCCCGGGGCTCTGCGGGGTCCCGGTGCCCTGCATAGATCCCGGGGCTGTGCGGGGTCCCGGGGCTGTGCGGGGTCCCGGGGCTGGATCCCGAAAGTGCGGCGGGGAGCCCCACCCGTCCGCAGCCTTCACACCAGCCCCGGGCCCGTGTGCGGGATCCCGGGGCTCTGCGGGGCTCTGCGGGCTCCCGGGGCTCTGCGGGGTCCCGGGGCTCTGCGGGCCCGCAGCGCTCCCGCTGCTCCAGGGCCACCCTGAATTCCAGCCCCCATGTGGGATGCAGCCTGGCTGTCCTGAGGATGCCGGGGAGCTGCGTGGAGAAGCCTCTGGAGGGGATGGGGAGTCTCACGCTGGTTCTTTGCACGGAAGATCCGCTTCAGCCGGGCATCCATGAGTTCATTAAATCACAAATGGGGTGGGGAAGCACGGTCCCCCTGCCCCGTGGGTGCAGCTGGCCAGACCGAGCCATGCTGGAGCCTGAGAGCCCCGCTGAAATCCAGTTAGAGGCCTTTGGAGATTAGATTTGTGGGAGCAAAAAGCAGCGAAATTAAATTTGCACGGGCAGAAACATTTCCAAGCTGCTTGAAAACCAGGCTAAGTATAAGTACTCCTGGCACAGTGACCGTGGTGGACCATGACGGTCGGGTTCATAATGGCAAGGTTTGGTTCAAAACCAAGCAGCAGGGTTTGTGACCTCCAGGCAGGAGGCCCAGCTTCACACGGAGTGACCGGGGACTGGCTCCAGCTGTGCCCTTGGGGAATGGAGTTCTGGCACTGATGCAGCACGAGGTGCTGGACGCTGCTGCTCCTGCTGCTCCTGGTGCCTCTCCCTCGGCAGCAGCGGGCAGAAACAGCCCGGTGTCCCACTTGTGCCGGGTGGTTCTGGGGCTGTGAGAGCCACACGTGTCCATGCTGCCTGCCACCTGTGGCTGAGTGGCCGTGGTGGCCACTGGGGTAAGCTCAGACAGCTTCTGTGACAGGACACAGCTGCTTTGCAGGCCACAACCAACAGGGCTGGGTGCCTAGCTCCAGCCCAGCCTTTTTGGAGCTTCCCAGGTTGGTGTGGGAGTGCAGAGCTGAGCTGGAATGTGCTGTGGGGCTGCTGACCACCAGCACGACCATGCCCTGTGTCTGGTCTGGCCCAGGGAAGGATCCTTGTCCCCCTTGCCCTGACAGAGGGACAACAAACCAGCTCTCATCCATCACCCAGCCCTGAAGCTGGCTCCTGGTGATCTCTGGGTGGAGGCAGCCCATCCCTTGCCCCATTCCCAGGGAAGTTGCTGTGCAGGAGCCCAGCTCCCCGGTGATCTCTGGGTGGAGGCAGCCCATCCCTTGCCCCATCCCCATTCCCAGGGGTGCTGTGAAGTTGCTGTGCAGGAGCCCAGCTCCCCACGGGACTGTGGCAGTGCTGGGAGGGCGGGGGAGAAGGGCGCTGGAGCCTCCTTTCAAAGCAAACAACTCAAGGAAACGCAACCTCCGGGTGCCGTGGGGCTTTGCCCTGCCTTTCCTTGAGCTCTCTGGGGGTGAGCATGGCCTGTCCTCCCCTGGCCTCTCCACCTCGCTGAGGCTGACAAGAAGGTGCCTGCGCCGCTGGTTTCTTCCAGCCCCGCTCACCCTTGAGTCACTTCCTTCCTGAGTTTGTACAATCGTGCAGCCCAGCTGCTGCTGCTGCGGGGCAGATGCAGTGCAGGGCCCCGGGCTGGCACTGCTGAGGCTGAGCAGGGTGGCCCCAAATCCCACCCGGTTCTCTGTGCTGGGTGCCAGGGGCTGTGCCCAGGGTTTGGGGCTGAGCTGCCTCTGCAGTGGAGGAAAGCGTTGTGAGAGTGTTTCTCAACATTATGTTCAACCCCTGTGTGATTTCAGAAGGCCGGGCCTTGGGCCCAACTCTTGGCCCGACTTTGGCAGGGTGATTTAATGAATTTCCAAAGAGAGGTGGGAAATTGTGTGTGTTGGCACTGGGAAAGCAGTCCCGGGAGGTTGGCTGATCCCAGCAATCCGTACTTAGTGCTTGCTGTGATGTAAATTTGTTGGTCTATCTAGAAGCTTTCCCACCCTGTCCTACAGCACTGGGCATTTCCTCCAGCAGTCGAAGCTGGAGCAATACCTGGTTCTTGGATCTGGATTTTCTGAGGCTGGCTTATCTAGGGAGAAAGGTGGGAGTGTCCCCACTTCAGAGGTGGGAAACTGGAGCGATGAGCCCCAGGCAATGTAGCGAGTTGTCTGTGGAGGCAGGATTAGAGCAGGAATTCCTGTCTCCCAGCTTCATGTCCTCCATGTGAGAGCCCCTCCCTGGAGTAAGCAATCAGTCTGGAATGAGTAGGTGGCATTACTGCAGCAGGAAGAGTTTCACACCGAGCAAGGCATGGCCTGGAGGGGTGATTAGTTATGCAGAGGCCAGGGAGCCAAGAACTGCTGTGGCTGTGGACACTCCTGCCCCTGGTGGGATTCTCCCATCACGAAAGGTCTTCAAGGTCTTGTTTGGGATTTGTTCAGCAGCCAGAGGTTGGTCTGTCCGTTTCCAGTCGAGGCTCCAACACTTTGGTCCCACCAGGAGATGGTGTTACCACGTCGGTCTTGTTTTCCTTGCCTGGACTTAGAGGCAAGGCTAGGGTGCAGTCAGACACCTTTGCTTCCTGACTCATGGTATTGATTTTGTGTGCCCTGCAGGTGGTGGAGGAAACAGGAAAGGCAAGAGCAAGAAATGGCGCCAGATGCTGCAGTTCCCCCACATCAGCCTCTGCGAGGACCTTCGGCAAACCCTGGGTGAGATGCAGGGCTTGGTAGGAATTGTGCACCCCAAGCTGAGTGTCAGGGACGTGTAACAGGGCAAATCCCAGCCAGGATTCCTTGGAGTTCAGAGCTAGGAAGAAATAATGGGTGGATAATGGCTGATGATGTAGCCACACACCTGCAAGGCTGTGATGAGTTTCACTAGGGGAACATCACCTTGTGTGCACACAGACCTGCTCCATGCTGCAGTGTTGGAGTGTCACTCTGGGGTGCCTTTGCAAAAACAACAAAGGTCCTGATAAGGTTCCCTGTTCTCCCTGGCTGGATTCAGCTCAGCTCCACAGGCCTCAGCTTCTAACATTCGAGCAGTAGCTCTTCCCAGGCAAACTGGGTTCTTGCTGTGTGGAGTGGATGAGAACTGGCATTGAGCAGGGCTTGGCCTGTCATTTTCATTCTGTACTTTGTACTCTTCATGGTTTTAATGTTGTTTGTGCAGCAGGCTTGGTGCTGAGATCATGTGAAATTGTTTTGGGGCACAGAGGGTGCCAGTGCTTTGCTTCCTGGGAAGAGGAGAGCTTGTTTAAGTTTTCAATCCGGATATAGTTGCCAGCTGGAGAGTGGCACAACACTGGCCTTGTTTCAGAACAGGTGTCTCTGAAATGAATGGGTTTGGGAGGTTTCTGCAGCTCAAATTCCCAGTTCTGCCCTGCCCAGGTTTTCAAGTCCTGGCAGTCCTTGGGCCCCATGGAAGTGTAGTACTTGGAGAACCTCAACCTCACTCATCCACACTGTAACCCTCAAGTTCAGAGTGCAGGCTGTTCCCACCTCCCTCTGCCACACAACCCGTGCACCATCTCTCGGGGCTGGCTTCACAGCCAGAGTGGCTGTATGGTGACTCCAGCCTTGGATTTGCTGCTGGCTGCCTCTCTGGAGCAAGGTCTGAGAGCTGCACAGGGCTTAGGCTTGGGCTCTCCTTGCAGCTCCCATCTCGACCATCCAAACCCTTTCTTTGACTTGCAACGTCCTCAGCAGAGCTTTCCCTCAGCTTTTGTCCACCCTGTGCCTGCAGCCACCCTTCCTGTGGCTGTCATGGTGTTTTCCAGCACTGAACTTCACCCGTTTGCCAGCAGTGAGTGCTGGTGGTCCCTGTGCCTGCTGTCCTACTATCCAGGACAGTGACCTTGTGAAGATTTGGGAAGCAAGTCCCTCTCAGCCACTGGCTGTCACCACCCGTGTCTCACTTCCCCTGGTGAGAGGCATGTGAGTAGTGCTCTGACCCAGGTGGCAGCAGTTTCTCTTGGTTTTCCCATGGCAGAGATGACCCCGTTCCTTGTGCTTGGGCACTCTTTGGCTGGGCTGTCTTTCTTTTCACCTCATAGTTTCTGGAGAGGCATTTCTTTCCTATCCCAGAGTCTTGGCAGGACAGTGGGCACAGTGGGCTGGTTGCCCATTGCAGAATTAAGCTTTTTGTGCCCTAACCACAGGGAGTAACCTCGTGTGAGCCTGGGCAGCGACCAGGGCAGCTGAAAGCTTCTGATCTCGCCGACAGCAAATTCTGGTCCTCCCCAGCTGAAGGGAACTCCTTCCCCTGCAGACACAAGGAAACCGGCTGGTGCGGCGGAGCTGGTGAGGCCACCTCCTCCCCCACCACAGCCTGGCTCTGCACTCTCCTGCACCCTCAGGAAGCTGCAGCTTCCTCGGGAGAAACTGCTGCACAGGGGGGGGAAGGCTGGGAGTGCCCCGTGCTGGGATCCCCTGCGTGGCTGCACATCTGCTCTGCAGGCACAGAGCAGCACAGCACCACAGCCCTCGGTGGCAGTGGCTGTCACAGAAATGTGTTCTGGCCTGGGATCAGACGTCTCGTAAGTGGAAGGGGAGGAAGAAAGCAGAGAACTGGAATTGCTCTGGATAGTCAAAGGCGTTTGTGCGTGGGCTGCCAGAGTTCAGAGAGGGGTAGGAGGAATCTGCAAGAGTTGATGTACGAGCAAGTGGCTGTCCTGTGGAGAGGGGAGTTCTGACTGCTGTGTGTACATCAGCAAGGCATCTGTGGGAATGGTGCCTCCCATTTTGATGCTGCTGCTTCCAGCAGGGCCTTTGGGAACACAAGTGGTTTGAAGGAGTCATCAGAACAACTCTTGGCCTGGAAGATCTTCCTTGAGATAAGCTTGGTGTGCTCCTCATGTTCCAAGGAAAGTTGTGTCTGGAGTAGTTGGTTGATCTCTGTGGAGAGAGAAGAGATCCTTTAGGCAAGCAGCTGTTATGGAGGTCCTTTGCTAGGAACAAGAGGTTCAGGCTGAACAGAGCAGCAGGTCAATCCTCTTTCACGGAAGAGCATCTTCCACGGGGGAATGTAAAACCTCAGAGATGTCCCTTGTCCCACTGGGTGCGCTTCACTCTCCTGGGAGTCCCAGCCTGGTGGCACCTGTCAGCAGCCCAGCTGAGCAGTCACAGTACCCCCAGGGCTGCCTGGGCTGGGACTGCTCCTTTGGGGTGTGGTGGGGTGACCTTGTGCTCGTTTGCAGAGCGGGACTACCACAGCCTGTGCGAGAAGCAGCCCATTGGGCACATGCTCTTCCGGCAGTTCTGCGAGACGCGCCCCGAGCTCTCACGCTGCGTCAAGTTCCTGGATGCTGTGGTAAGAGCAAAGCCCATCAGGCTTCGCTGGGGGAGGCAGGGATGTTCCTGACACCCTGGGCATGAAGTGGTTGGCTGGGTGCTCCAGCAGGTACTTCTGGGCAATAGGGTTTTCCTGTAGGAAAAACCTGTGAGTCGGAGCCCATATAGGGCTGGGCCTTTGCTTAGGGAGATGTTTGCTGGAGATCTGGTTTTCAAGGAAAGCTTGGGAAACTGGGCAGAGGGTGTTGCTGCTCCACAGCTGTTGCCCAGTAGCAGGACAGGGTTTCTGGCTGAAACTGCCCCTCACACTGCTCTCTCCAGGCAGGGTACGAAGTGGCTCCAGATGAGAAGAGGAGGGAATGTGGGCAGCACCTGATTGAAAAGTACTTGAAGCCAAACGTGAGTAAAAGGGTTGTTTGCTGCCTGAAAGGGCAGAACAGTTGGAAAGCCAACAGCTGACATTGCTCATGTCCTGCCACAGCCAACATGCTGAGCCACCACACCACCTCACAAGCTGCCACACTGCTTTACCCACTGACCCTAAAGCAGGACCCTTGCACTCTGCTCCCTGTGTCTGACTCCATCCCTTTGTCCCCAGAGTGAGGACCACGTGCCTGAAGTTCCCTCACAACTGGTGGATGCCTGTTGTGAGAGGCTGGAGCAGGAACCTTCCAAGGAGCTCTTCAAGGAATGCACTAAGTAAGTTGCAGGGCTGGGCTGTGCCTGCAGGTCACACATGGCACGGGGATGATCTGCAGCTCACTCACCTTGTCCCCCGTGATCCCTTCCTCTGGGAGAGTGAAAGCTGGTGCTGAGGCTGGGGCCTGGGGAGTTTTGGGCCAGCAGTTTGCAGCCCAGCTCCATGAAAGCGAGCACAAGGGTATCTTGGGAGATGATGTCTGGGAGCCATGAACTGCTGCAGAAACCTCTGTCAGTCCTCCCAGCTGGAGTTGCCATTTGGGAAGACCCTGTACCAGTGCTATTCCCAGTGTTGTGCCAGGACCTTGCAGGGTCCTGCTGAGCTGAGCCCATAGTGTGCCAGCTGTCCTGTCCTGCCTGCTGCAGCAGTGGCTGCTGTGGCTGGGTTACTGGCTGTTGCTGCAGGGGTCCAAGGTCAGCTCTGTTCCCATGGCAGGAGCGGTGGCCGCGGTCCCGGCTCCGCGAGTGAAGCGGAAGCTCTTGGGCAAGCCGGGCTTGCAGCCTCACCCCTCCCTGCACAGTAGCTGGAGTGTGTTGCCTAACTGAGAGCAGGGCTGTGGCAACACATTTGCTGCAGCCTTCTGGGGAGCGTTGGCTCCGTGTGTGGTAAGCAGTGTCGTGTCTGAATGCAGAGCCTCCGGGCTGGGCCCTGCCTGCTCTTGGCAGGCTCTGAAAGGGGAGAGCCCATCGCTTCTCCTTGATGCGTGTTTCCAGTCTAGACACTGTGTCTAAGGCTCCTCACTCTGCTGGGCAGCCCTGGCACTGCTCTCCAAGGCACTTAGCTCGTTGGAGCAGGATCCCTGTGGCCTTTTGTGCTGGATATTCATCTGATGGTGAACAGCTCAGCACCCGGTGCTGAATGTTGCTAGCAGCTGATTACAGCCTGTGTGCAGGTTTGCCCTGTGAGCAGAGGGGCAATTGCAGAGTCCCGTTGTCCCCCTTTGTCCTGCAGCCCTGGCTGATGCCAGGAGGCCACAATTAGCAGTGCCAGCCGGGTCCCAGGGCGCTGCATTTGTCACAGTGGTACCTCCAACGCACCTTCCTTTGCATCAGGCTTAGCATGAAGCCAGGCTTTCTGTGCCAGGGCTGTGTGAGGGATGGCAAAGCCTTTTGGGGTGTTCACCTCCTCTTTCCTGGGGCTGCTGGGCTGTGCCCAGCTCTCAGGAACCGTGCTGGCTCTGCTCTCTCCTAGGCTTATCCACGACTACCTGAGCGTGGCTCCCTTTGCTGACTACCTCGACAGCTTGTACTTCAACCGCTTCCTGCAGTGGAAATGGCTGGAAAGGTAACACTCCCTCACCTCTGGGAGACCTGCGCCCTCCTCACACAGCCTGCCCAGGTACTTCAACCGCTTCCTGCAGTGGAAATGGCTGGAAAGGTAACACTCCCTCACCTCTGCACCCTCCTCACACAGCCTGCCCCAGGGTCCCTGGGGCTGCTTCCCATCTGGGCCCTGGCAGGAGCCAAGAGCCTGGCCTTTGCTGTCCCTCAGGGCCTTTTGCTGGCACCAGCAGCAGCCCCAGCCTTGCTTGCCTCATGGAGAGGCAAGGCTGGGTTGAGCAGGGGTTTGGGGTGAGCCACAGTCTGTCAGGCCAGGGCATGGAGCTCTCTCATTGCCCACATCCCACTCTGGTTTCCTTTCCCTCACAGGCAGCCAGTGACCAAAAACACTTTCCGCCAGTACCGTGTGCTGGGTAAGGGCGGTTTTGGGGAGGTGAGTAACCACTGTTTCCTCTGTATGCAGGGTGCCAGGCAGCCCCTGTTGCCAGCTGCCAGAGGCAGACCTGGGTTGGCCATCCAGCACCTGGAGGCAGGTGCTGCTGGCTGTGGGGGCTCTGTGCTTTGGGCCTTGTGTGACCTGTCAGCTCTCCCTGAGAGGCAGGAGCTCAGCTCTGTCCAGGTGCTGGAAGTGTGGGAGGTGCTGTGTGGGGCTGGTGGCACGAGCCCTGTGGTGCCTGCTGCTAACTGGGCAGAGTCAGTTCAGTTCCCTGTGTCTCAACAGGGCAAACTGCACTCCTGAAGGCTTCCTGCAGTGCTTCCTTCTGTTTATGGAGAGGCCTTCTGTCTTCCTGGGTACCAGCCATGGTGCTGCTAAAGGTGTTTGAGGCATCAGAGCTGGCTTCTGCTTCTCTGTAACATCTGGAGCTGTCACTGTGTTTTTGCTTTGACAATGGGCTTATTTGCCTTCCTGAGCCTCTTTCTGAGAGCAGAACCTAGACCCCCACTCTGGAAATAGGAGGGTGCTGAGCCTTGTTCTCCCTCCAGGTGTGTGCCTGCCAAGTGCGTGCCACAGGGAAGATGTATGCCTGCAAGAAACTGGAGAAGAAACGGATCAAAAAGAGGAAAGGAGAAGCCATGGCCCTGAATGAGAAACAGATCCTGGAAAAAGTGAACAGTAGGTTTGTAGTAAGTACATAGGAATTGCTCTCACTTTGCTGCAATGCTGGATTCTTCCTCCAACCAGCCAGCCTGGAACCTCTGTGCTCCTCACCTGGTGTGGAGAGGCAGGAGCAGGCTCTGCCCATGGTGCAAGGTCCTGATGGCTGCACATCTCTCACAAGGCTGGGGTCTGGCAGGACCTTTACTGCCTCCACAACATGCTGTAAATGCCCCCAGAGTCAGCCCCAAACACCCATCTGGTGTTACAGGTGCCTTTGTGACTTTTGGGGCACAAGTAAACAATGAGAACTGTCTCTCCAGGCAGTGGTCTGGGGAGAAGCCCAGCCCTGAGCTGTGTGATTGGGAGCTCTGCCTTGGTGCACTGAGGTGTGGAAAGCCTGAGCCTCCCTTTGCAGAGGGTTCATCAGATGCTGCCCCAATGTTGCTGTTGAGTGCTGCCTGCCCGTGGGGGAAGCAGCTTTGGCTTGGGGAAAGTGTCCTCCCTGCCTGAGGAAAGCTGGGGGTGTGCTGGGTACTGCCATGTCCTCCCTGGGTTCACACAGTTCCTCCTGTGCTGGCAAAGGCCCAGCTCTGAGCCTGTGAGTGGCTGCTTGGGTGGCAAAGTGTCCATGGGAGTGTGGGCACCTCCCTCTTCCAGCTGTGTCTTCTAACAGCCTTTCTGCCCTGAATTGCAGGTGAGCTTAGCCTATGCATATGAAACTAAAGATGCTCTCTGCCTAGTGCTGACCCTCATGAATGGAGGGGACCTCAAGTTCCATATCTACCACATGGGAGAGGCTGGTTTTGAGGAGCCCCGGGCAGCTTTCTATGCTGCTGAGATCTGCTGTGGCCTGGAGGACTTGCACCAGGAGAGGATAGTGTACAGGTGCGTGCTGCCTGGTCCCTGCTGGGAGAGCTTGTAGGGCCTGCAGCAGCAAGAGGGTTCCTGCTGCTCTTACCAGCCCAGCTGGGTCTGTCTGCTCAACAAAATAAGCTCGGGCTTGAAAGCAGCACAGAGCTGAGTGAGAGGAATTGAGAACAGAAAGCTGATCTTGTGGGAGAAAGGGAGACCTTAGCTTGGCTTCCTTGTGCTGGTAAATGGTCGCCAAGAACAGGATGTGATCATGCTGTGAATGTCTCAGGGCAGGCACTGAGCTCCCTGGGCAGTATTGACACTAGAACAAAGGAGGGTAGGCTGCCCCAACGTGCTCAAGGGCTGGGGAGGAGGGAAAACAAGTGGATTGACTGTACTCACAGGGGCGTGATGCAGTGTTAGGATAGCATGGCTAAACACTGGCCAGGAAGTCCCTTCTGGTCCTTCCTTGCCCTGGGGCAGGATAAGCAGAGAAGCCTCTGCTCCTTCTCACTTTTGTGGCCTGCTCCATACTGAGTTCTGCACCTGCAAAGAGGGAACCATCCTCAGGCTCAGTGCAGAGGGTTGAAGGTTGTGTTCCACCTCTCTGCCCAGGAGGGGAGAGCTTGCAGGGTCAGTTCTGGGGCAGAGGGTGAGGGGAAGGTTCTCTGTGTGCCCAAGGCAGGGACATTGCATCCTAAAGTTATCTGTGACTTGAGATGTGGCTGTTGCTTGTGCCCTTTGCTTTGACAACAGGCTTCTTGCTAATCAAGTCCCTTCCATCCTAGGGACCTGAAGCCAGAGAACATATTACTGGATGACCATGGTGAGTTTTTTTCTTACTCTGCTTGAGCCCTGTGGTTTTGGCAGCTTCTGCCACTGCCCCCCGACTTTGTCCTGTTAACTTGTCCCCTCCTCTGTGCAGGTCACATCCGTATCTCAGACCTGGGACTGGCTGTGCATGTGCCAGAGGGCCAAACAATCAAGGGCCGGGTGGGGACAGTTGGCTACATGGGTAAGTGACCCTGCTTTAAGCAAAAAATGATTCAAAAGATGAGCTCTCCCTGGCCTCACACATCCCTCACCGCTGCTCCCCGCAGCTCCCGAGGTGGTGAAGAACGAGCGCTACACGTTCAGCCCAGACTGGTGGGCTCTGGGCTGCCTGGTGTACGAGATGATCGAGGGCCAGTCCCCCTTCCAGCAGCGCAAGAAGAAGATCAAACGGGAGGAGGTGGAGCGCCTGGTGAAGGAAGTGCAGGAGGAGTACTCGGAGAAGTTCTCGCCCTGCGCCCGCTCCCTCTGCACCATGGTACGGCTGTGCTGCCCTGTCCCCTCACTCTGCACCTTGGTATGTCCCCTCACTCTGCACCATGGGATGGCTGTGCAGCCCTGTCCCTTCACTCTCTGCACCATGGGATGGCTGTGCAGCCCTGTCCCTTCACTCCCTCTGCGCAGCCCTGTCCTTCACTCCTGTGCATGGAGCAGCAGTACACCAGGGCTGCTCCCTGCAGAGGTGACAGCCAGCTTCCCTTGTTTCTAATAAGGCAGCACAGGAGGTTTCAAAGTGCCTTCATTCCTTGCCCAGCTGCCTGGCAGGCCTGTGCTCCCCCTAGAACACACTGCAGGAGCCCAGGGCTGCACCCTTCACCCAGGACATTGATTTCCTCCGTGTCACAGCTCCTGTGCAAAGACCCCTTGGAGCGCCTGGGCTGCCGAGGAGCTGGGGCCAAGGAAGTGAAGGAACACCCTCTCTTCAAGCACCTCAACTTCAGGAGGCTGGAAGCAGGCATGCTGGACCCTCCCTTCAAGCCAGATGTAAGTGCCCATCTGTCCCTGACCTTTTCAGTCACTGGTGCTGTCGAGGGAAGAGGGAGCCCTGGCATGGGGAGATGGGGCCCGTCCCCTTCCCTGGGCCTGGCAGAACAGGGGTCCAGCAAGCTCTGGGCTGCAGGGAGAGGTGGCCTTGGCTTAGCCATGAGCAGCAGTTGGAGGTGGTGGCATCAAGGTGGAGCCTGGCATTAGAGCAATCTTTGTGCTGCACAGCCCCAGGCTATCTACTGCAAGGATGTGCTGGACATCGAGCAGTTCTCCACGGTGAAAGGGGTGGAGCTGGAGCCCACAGACAACGACTTCTACCAGAAGTTTGCTACAGGAAGTGTGCCCATTCCTTGGCAGAACGAGGTGGGTCTTTGCTCCTGGTTGTGCCCACCATGGCTGAGGGCAGTGTCCCTGTGCTGTCCCTGCTGCTCTTGTGCTCTGCTGGGCCCTCGGTGATGGGCTCCATGTGACAGTTGCTGCAGCCTTCTTTTCCCTCTTCCAGATGATTGAGACAGAGTGTTTTAAGGAGCTGAATGTCTTTAGCACAGATGGCACAGTGCCCCCAGACCTGGACTGGAAAGGGCAGCCTTCTCCACAGCCCAAAAAAGGGTTACTGCAGCGCTTGTTCAGCAGACAGGTAAGGGTTTGCCCAGCGTTTCCTCCCCAGCCAGTCTCCCAGCAGCAGGGATCCTGCTCCTGCCTGTGCCAGGCAGGTCTGGCAGGGAGGTGGGCACGAGAGGGCAGCGAGCAGTCTCCCCTAGTGCTGGGTGGCCAGAGCCTAGAGCTTTTGGGGCACCCGTGCAAGGCTTCAGGGAGCCAGCCCTTGCCTGGCTGGCAGGAGTTAAGGGGGCTGGAAAGGAGTGTCCTGGCTAAACATGCTGGAATCACCCAGGCAGAGGGATGCTGAAGACTATAAAATATTTAATCATCTCCCTTCTGACATGAATAATACCATCCCTGAACAAGTTGTTGCTCTTGGAATGTGCTGTCTGGCCTCCCCAGAGCACTTCTGCCAGATCTTGAGCCAGGCAGAGAGCAGCTCTTTTGAGGGATGAGGAGAACAGAAACGTCTTGCAGCTGCTGTGGGCTTGCTTGTCTGCCTGTTTCCTCTGTCCAGGACAGTCTTTGCCTTCTTTCCAGGCCTGGCAAAGCCTGGCCTGCTGCCTCTCAGCAGCTGTGTGCAGCTGTAGGTCTCCAGCATGGTTGGCTCTGGACCCACTCAGCCACCTGGTGCTGACTCCTGCTCCTTGGCAAGCTCCGAGTTGTGCTTTGCAGTTCAGTGAGCTGCCCTAGCCAGAGCCAGCTCTGGGGATACCCAGCCCTTCCCGAGGCAGCAGGACCTGCCAGAGGATGGGCAGCTGTTTGTAGAAGGGGTTGAGCTGTGATTTCCCACGTGTTTTCTCTTTCCAGAGGTGAGCAGTCACTCCTGGCTGCTCTGCTCAGGGAAATACCCGGTGGCCCACGGACATGGCAAGATCTGGGAAAGAGGAGTGTTGTCCTTCAGTGCCTATTCCCTTCCCCTGGCAGAGCACAAGCTGCTTGTTGTTCTAACTGCCCCCTGAGCCACTAATCCAGCATCCCTGCTCTTGCTGCCTTTGTGGGGGAGGCCTTGCCCTCAGCTTGAGCCAGAGTTGCCCCTGCACTGCTGCTGCTGGGAGTTCTGCTCCCAGGGGGCTCGGGGAGGTTTCCTTCACTCCTCTCTGGATGTCCGGGACACGCAGAAGGGTTGAGAAACTGTGAAGGGTTTGGCATTGCCCCATGCTCAGACTCCCATTTCAGCAAAAAGGGCTTCAGCTGCTCTCGTGGCCAGCTGAGCCCTGAGCGGGGCCGAGCGTCTGTGCTGGCACTGAGCTTGTGTCCCTGGGTGGCTGCAGTCCCTGGAGCCCAGCTTCCTCACAGCTTCTGAGCTAGCCAGCTGTGTGCTCACCAGTCTGTCTGCCAGGGGCTGAACCTCCAGCTGCAGCTAGACTGTTCTCTGCAGTCTGGGAGTCCCCTCCTGCCTCCATGTAACTCCTGCACATGGGCTGGGAGGGAACCTGGCCCATCCCTGCCAGAGGGCAGCTGTAGGCTGGGTTGTGTTACCGTGCTCACCCTCTGCTTGCTGTGCTCCTCTCTCCCTCCCTCCTCCCTCTCCTTGCCCTTCTGACTTCAGGACTGTTGTGGAAACTGCAGCGACAGCGAGGAAGAGCCCACCCGGCTGTAGAGCACAGCCTGTTCTCCAGCCCCTGGGACCCCCTGGCCTCTCCCGAGTGCCCAGCCTGAAGGACACGGTCGCAGTGGCCCCGCAAGGTGGATTTGTTTACAGTTTTATACGTCTGTATGTGAAGACTGTGAGGATGATTCCAAGGCTGGCAGCCGCACACGACTCGGGTTGAGGTGCCTGTCACCACGGGCAGGCCCTGAGACAAACCCGGACGCTTCCAGATCTGCCACCTGGGATGGTGCTGGTGCTGCTGCCGCTCCTGTCCCGGGCCCAGGGTGGGAGGAAGGGAGGGAGGGATGGTGCCAGCGTGGGCCGAGGCCAGGCTGGAGCAGCTCTGCTGACACATTCCACGGTGCCGAAGCGGCGCCGCAGGTTTGATGTATATTTATATATGTCGGTCTGTACATATCACATGTGGGTTTTTAGTCTATGGGTGGGGGCCTGCACTGCCCCCACCCTGCCACAGGCACAAATGTCCTCCTATGGGAGGAGTGACGTTCCCAGCTTTGTTCCAGGGAGTCCTGGACAGAGGCCTTCTGTGCCTTGAGGTGTCTAAATCATCTTTCCTGGACCTTTCTGGCCGTGCTGAGGTGTCCTGGCTCCAGCGGAGTCCACTGCTCAGCCCCGAGGCACAGGAAGGTGCTGTGCCAAAGCGTCTGCCATCGCGTCCTGGCAGCAGAGCGTCACTGCCTTGTCCTCGTGTCCCTGTCTGCTGGAGCCTGCTGCCTCCTGCCTCGTCTCACACGTGCTGCCAGCTGCAGTGAGCTGATCGAGCCCCTCTGCAGACCACTGGCACAGGTGGGCACAGCCACCGTGGGCACCTGCTGCTGCTGTGGCCAAAGGGTTGGTCTGATCCTGGCACACTGCAGAGAGGGGTTCCACCGGCTCTGGACCTGTGCATTCCAGAGGTGTGGCCATCCCCAGGCCCAGCTCGGTGGTGGAGGAGCAGACACATAAAGGACCCTGCTCTCAGAGAGCAAAGCTGTGATAAAGGGAATGTCCCTCCCAGGGTCATGTGAAGCTGTGACCCAAAAGTGAGTGGGCTGGGACCAGCTTAGTGTGTGTCCCCAGGGGTTGTGGGGAGCCAGCACAGCTCCTGCACCCACAGGCAGGAGCCCTCTGTGGGGAGCAGCCCACCTCTCCATTCAGCTTGTCCTGTCCCCTCTTGTGTACACCTGTCCCAGCTGTGTCCTGAGCAATAACTCGTCCCTTCTGTGTGTGTGTGTGTGTGCACACGTGTGTGCGTGTGCTGCTGCCTCTGCTCATTCTGAGCCAGGCCCCCCAGTGGGGCTGAGCACCTACTTGGACCTGTGGTATCATTTGCTTGCCTTGCACTAAAGTTGGAGAGTATTTAAATTTTTAACCTTTTGTTAAGTGTAAAGATTTGCTGTGCCTTGTATTGCTCTCATGTCATGGGGGGCCTGCTCTGGGTCCTACAGGGTTGGTGGCTGTAAGAAGGGGAGTGGGGACCTCGTTTCTGGGCTGCCATGGGCTCTGCTGGTGCTCCTGACCTGCAGGGAAGGGCTGGGGTTGCTCTCCAGGGCAGAAAGGGTGGTGCTGGCTGGGTCCTGAGTATCACAGATGACCCTCAGTGTCTTTGCTGCATGTTTTGTCAGTGTCAGGGCACGACAGGTATGAGGCCTTGTGCTGTAGGGATGCTGTGCTCCCCTCTGGGGCACGTCCATCCCCAGCACAGCCCCTCCTGGGCTGTCCCAGGTGTGCTGTGAGGCCGGGACACAGTCCTGCTGCCCTCTGGTCACGGTGAATTACTGCTTCAGGGGGGCCACCACGAGTGGGGACCCTGTGGCAGCACAGTGCTGCTCCTTAGCCCAAAGAACAGTGTGGTGACACGGGCCGAGGGTCACCAAGGGCGGAGCAGTGAAAGGGGGGCAGCCTGGGGGGGCACAGGGTGGGTTTGGGTGGCGGCAGCGGTGCCAGCCCCGCAGGGCGCGGGGGGGCCGCACGCAGCTGCACCGGGATGAGAATAGCAAGTGCGGCTGGGTAGCTAGGGAACAGTTGCTATGGGAGCGGGCCGAGGAGGAGTTCTCACACTCGGAGGGGGCATCTTGGGGTAAAATCCAGGCATTTTCTGCAGCCGTGGAAGGAAGGCAGGCAGGCGGGGGGATGGGGACTGCTTGGGCATTGCTGTTCCAAAGGCACCAGGCAGGATGCTTGTGCTGCCCTCCTGCCACTGCCTGGGTCATGGCAGCCTGGCACCAAGGTCCTGGGGTCACCAGCGTGTTCCTGTGACTGTCACATGTTCAGGTGGCTCTGGGGCAGAGCTGGGCTGTGAACAGAGCCGTGGCTAGCCCCGAGCAGGGCAGGGAAGTGTCTCTGCCTGTTTCCACCTGCCCAGTGGTGCTCCAGCATTTGGGGGGTGTCTCCCATCCCTGTCCTTGATGGGGGTAAGCACCCTGCAGGTGAGGGGATGCTGGTGTGTGTCCAGAGTGGGTGGATGTGCACCCTAGGGACACAGGCCAGCTGTGGGGTCCTGAGCAGTGCCCCGCGCTGTGGGGCTGTGGCAGCAGCTCCGCACACCATTTTCAGGGGTGAAGGATGCTCTCAGCTGTTGCCTGGGCAACGGCTCCTCCTCCAGCCCACCATGTGGCTCGGGGAGCGCTCCCCCGCCTGCCTCCCCCCGCTGCCGTGGGGAGAAGGGGAAGGGGAAGGGGAAGGCAGCTCCCGGCCCCCGGCGCTGGCGGGGCCGGAGGCCTGGCTCCCTTCGCCCGCCCTTGCCCCGACCTGACGATGCCCGTGGGCCCCACCGTGCCCCCCGTCCCTGCGGTCCCCATGCCTCAAGGGACCACCCCGGCCCCCCCGCATGGCCGCAGCCCCCTGCCTGCCCTGGGTGCTGCTGGGGCACCCCCACAAGCACCGAGCCGGCAGAGCCCGGCTGCCGTGGCCGCGCTGTGAGGTCGGATCGCAGGAGAGTTCCAGCAAGGTGAGTCGGGGCCGGAGCCGGGGGAGCCGCGGCCCCGCTGGAGCGGGGCGCTCGGGCTGGCCGCACACCGGAGCCGCCGTGCCCAGCCGTGGTGGGAGTGGGCTGCCAGCAGCCGGACTGCCCAGGCCGTGCATCCCCTGGCCGGCACGGAGGAAGTCCTTCCGGGCGGCCCCCGGCGGAGCGATGCGCCGTGTGTGCCGCCGCAGCGGGCGCCGGCCACCGTGCCCACGGGCAGGAAAGGGCCGCGGGTCACGGCCGGCGTGGGGCACCCACAGCCATCGCCCACCCGCACCTGGCACCTCTCCGCCCCAAAGCCACTCCGCCCCGCTCCTGGCACGGCCCCGGGGCGCAGCGAAGGGACTCGACCCCAAGCTCGGCGCAGAGGGAGGTGTCCCATGGGGGCCACGACCACCGGCCTCAGTTACAGCAGAGAAGAGCTGGTGACAACCCCCCGACGGCAATGGCTGGGGGAGCCCTAGCTCAGGGGCAATTGCCCAGGCCAGGCTGGCGAGGGGTCTGGCACCCAAGGGTGACCCCGGGACACCCAGTGCCGTTTTGGTCCCTCGCTGTTCTGGGGGCCAGGCTGGCGTGCTCTGCAGAGCCACGCGTCTCGCTGCAGTGGCCGGGGGGCTGTGCAGGGGCTGTGCTGCCCTCCCCTGCCCGTGGCCCTGTGCTGGCCGTCACCTCGCGGAGCTCGCCGCTGTCACCCCTTCAGGAGGCTGGCATGGCATTGCGGAAAGGGATGGCAGCACCCCCAGGGAACCTCCGTGGCGAGTGCAGGGCTACCGACCGCGGCAGCCTGTGGCACCACCCCACCGGGCATCACCCCACACGCACCGGGAGCCGCTACCCGGGAATCCCCGGCCCCCACCCCGTGGGGCTCCCGCGGCCACCCCCGGGAATGCCCCGGCCCTCTCGCCACCGGCATCCCGCCGCCGTTCCCCCGGGGGGGGATTCCCTCGGCAGCACCGGTGCCGAGCGGCGGCGGGTCCCGGGGCGGGGGGTGCGGGGAGCCCGCGGATCCCTCCCCGAGCCGAGGGCGGGGCGGAGCGGCGGGGCGGGAGCCCGGGGGCGCGCGGCGCGTACCGGGGCGCGCATCTCCGCTCCGGCCCCGGCGGGCGCGCGCCCCGGGGGAGGAGGAGGATGAGGATGAGGAAGGGGTGCCGCGCCCGGCACGGGGAGCGGGGAGGTTCCCCGCCGGGGTGTCACCCTCTCCGCGGAGGCAGCGGGCAGGGATGCGACGCGGGCAGCGGGGCCCAGGCCCCGGCCCGGGGCTACCGGCGGGGCCCGGCTCCGCTCTCCGCCCGGTGTGAGTGTCTCCAGCCCGGCCCCGCTCCTCCCCCAGCCCGCACGTCCTCGGCAGCCCCGCTCCCCCCGCACGCCCCAGCTGCGAACGCCCCCGGTCCGCGGCGCCGCCGGCCCGCCCTGCACCGCTTCCCGGTGTTCCCCCGGCCGTCATCCCGGGGCTCGACCCACGGCCCTTCCCGCACGGTACCTCTCCTCCCTGGGGATGCCCGGGCTGCCAGCGCGGAGCCTGTTGCAGCCGATGTGGCGATCGCTGCTCGAACCGAGCTGGCCTCAGCCGGGGCACCCCCTCCCCAAAAACCCACATCCCGGCGCTGCCTCAGCCCACGCGTTTGTCTGCGTGATGGAGCAGCCCCCGCTGCCCGCCGGAGCGTGGTCAGGGCCCCCGGCTCCTTCCTTCCCCATCGTTTCTTCCTTCCGCCGGGCTCGGCCCTCCGGCCCCGCGGGCACCCTCATCCCCGGTGGCCCTGCCGCGATCCCTTGCCAGGGGTGATGGAGCACCCCGCGCCCCTTCGCCCTGCTCCGAGCGAGGGATGGTGTCACCGCGGTCACCCAGCCCGCGGCTGTGTCACTCCAGGCTCACCCTCCTCCCTGCTGCCGAGCCCGTTTTCTCCCACACCACGATAATGAGAACCCTGATGGGTGCTTACGTGCCTGCCTGCAAGCACCCATGGGTGCTGCTCGCCGCTCACTGGGGAGCAGACCTGCCCCTGGCACACACCCTTGACATTTGATGCTTGGCGGGATGTGACCGAGCTGTCACCCTGGCCGATGGGCAAGGGTGCTGGTTCCCATCACCACCCCCGCTGGCCCTGCATTGCTGTGTTGGGGTGCCACCATCCCCAGCGGCTGCGATGCCAGCCATGGCTTGGGCGCACGTGCTCCTGCCAGCGCCACGTGCCACAGGCAGCGGCACCTCTGCCTGTCCCTGCTCCTCGCCAGGTCACCCCCCTGTGTGGCCGCACAGGGATGAGCTGCCTGGCCTCAGCAGCCGATTTAGGGTGCACCAGGTGGGCAGGAGAAGGGGATGCCACTGGGCACCCCATGCCAGGTGATGCTGTGGTACCACAGCATCCATCTCCCACCCCAGGGTGCCCAGCAGCGCCGCGGGCGATTCTAGGGGGGCCGCGCAGGTTTGCATCCATGGTGGTGATGGTGGGGAGGGGTGCATGGGGTGCCAGGCACGGTTCCCCCTGGCTGCGGGCGCTGCGGCGCATGTGGAGCGAGTCACCATGGGAACAGGGCGTCCACGTTTCCGTGTCGCTCACGCTCGCGTCTGTCTCGTTGCAGGGCCCCCACCCCGGCGGTCCCCCCCCAGCGATGGGCAGCGGGACCCCGGCAGCCCCGTCCCCCCGCCGCCCGCCCGGCGCACCCAGGCCTGACCCACCCGCTCCAACCCCCCCAGCTCCATGGCGAGGACGGACCCCTGACGGCAGGCTCGCCCGCGGGCCAGAGGAAACGCGCCGGGCACGGCCCGGGGAGATGCCCTCGGCGGCCCTGACAGCATCGGGTCCTCCCTGACCCTGCCGCCGCCCTGAGCATCCCGTCCCCCCCATCCCGAGGGCAGGGAGAGGCGGGGGCCTCCCCCCGGGGCCAGCTGCCAAGATGGTGATGTCCCAGGGCACCTACACCTTCCTCACCTGCTTCGCGGGCTTCTGGCTCATCTGGGGCCTCATCGTGCTGCTGTGCTGCTTCTGCAGCTACCTGCGGCGGCGGGTGAAGCGGCAGCAGGAGGAGCGGCTGCGGGAGCAGAGCCTGCGCGCGCTGGAGATGGAGCCGCTGCACTACGAGGGTTACGGGGGCAGCCCCCCCGGCATCGCCATTCCCCACCGCCTCCGCCTCGAGCCCCACCATCACCATCACCACCCCCACCACATGCCACCCCCCCGGCCCTGGAGCTGCCGGCACGGTAAGGAGCAGGGAGGGGCTCTGCCATCCCCGCAGCACGGGCCTCCCCCTGTTTTGGGGGGGATACGACGTGAGAGCCGGGGCGCAGCGCTGACGGCAGCAGGGGTCCGGGGGGGGCTTTGCCTTGCAGAGTCAGACCTGTCAAAGCCGCCGTGCTATGAGGAGGCGCTGCTGATGGCGGAGCCCCCCCCGCCATACAGCGAGGTGCTGATGGACACGCGGGGGCTCTACCGCAAAATCAACGCCCCTTTCCTGAGCCATGAGCGGCTGGAGAAGCAGGAGCAGCCTCCCAGCTACAAACCCCTTTTCCTGGACGCCGGCTACGGCTCAGCGCTGCACCTGCCCCGCTCAGCCAGCCCCGGCCCTGC